GACATTTATTAATCCTAAATAAAGTCAAATTAATGCTAATCCTGCTGATTTGATTGTTATTGTAATTACAAATTTTACATTCGTGAGATGTGTTTCAATTATTGGTCTTAGATTAGATGTTTATATTTCATATGACATATATAAATAAATAAAAATGAATGCATGTACATCTTTGCAAAGCGCGAGAAGACCATAGGTTTCTTGCTGTTTTAGAGTTATTTTTTATTGCAATATTCTATGTATAAATCTTAATATTGTAGATCTTTTCTACTTTAAAATTTGTTAGAAGTTATTGAAATATATCTATATAAGTAGAGTTTTTATAATATTGTTATTTTTTAGCATACTGATAAACACGTTTTTCTAGATCTTGCTTAATATAATTTATTCTATAAAATTTGCTTAACCTAGTTGAACCATTTATTTATATTAATTTCCATCGATTTAAGAAGTTTTTAGAGACTTTTGAGACTTTAATTAATAAAACGATAGATATTATTGCATTTTTAAATATATGTAAATATTAAATCTTAAGAGTTATGAAACATAAGTATTATAAAGTATTTATGGGTCGAAATTTGAATTATGATTTTTATTTTGTTATAAATTATTTCCCAATTACTGTGAAATTTTGCTTAACGAAAAGCATTTCATATCTTTGGTTATTTTTATTCTTTCGGTGGCATGGAAGTGTTATTACATTTTGTACCAAAAAAAAGACAAATAACATGTCTGAACTCAAGTTTGGAAATATGTGTAATTATATACTATAATGGTTGGACACAATACAATCTGAGACTTCTAAATTATATATAAAGAGAATTAAGTTTTTGGTTCCGCGAAATTAGTTTGTTAATCGAATCTTCGTTTTGAGAGATAAAATATTATGGTCAGAATAGGGATTAGTTATTTCGTAAAGAAAATGGAAAGTTAACTAAAATAAAAGAAATCATACTTTAAAATATTAGTCTAAGATTGTCTGTGCTTTTTCATTTGACAATTTCCTAGCGGAGTTAGTGCATTTAACACTGATTGCTTAATAATAACACTTTTTCCTAAATCAATATGATTTTCACTAAAAAAAAAACAAACATTTTTAATGAAAATTCAATCATTTCGACTTATTTTATTTGTCTTCGTTACTAACAATGTTTTATGAATCTTCCATTGGATAAACGATCTGTTCTATTCATTGTTTAAAATAATTCATTGAAACATCTGCATAACTTTATTTATAATATTTTGTAATTATTTTCTTCGTCAATAACAACTGTTGGCTATATATTGTTTGAAATTGCAGACTTCGTTATATCAAAGCTTTGTTATCATAGGTAACGTTAACCAAGGTATATTTGGTATAAATTGATATAATATTAAAATGTAATATAAATTAACTTTACATTTTTAAATAAATACTAAAAATGAATAATTCACATGTTCAGAATATTATTCACTACTGAATTATCTGAAGGCAAACACAAAATGTATATAATATAAATCAAATATGACTTGACATGATATTGAAAATGTAAACATAGTAAAACTTGATAATATTTTTTGATTACGTTCGTTGTATTCAAATATTGCTTAATACCACAAGATTGTTCCTAAATAAACATGAGGATTTCAATATTTTAGAAAGTAACAGGCATTTCTAAAATATCAATAAATTAATTTAAACCAATTGCAACGCAAAAATCTCATTGATATTGAAAAATGTTCTTGTTAATTTTGATTATTATTGTTTGTAACATGAAACCTTGTGGCAAACATTTTCGTCTTATGCAATACATACTATTGCCATGAAAATGTTGCACGAGCGAAATGTGCGCGTTCTGCTTATGTTTTGCTCCAATCGGCTGGCTTTAATCTCATGCAAATCACAAAACAACAAATAGAGAGATTGAAAAAAATACAGTCATAGGTCAAGTATTTGCTTCTTCTTGCTCCTTTTCATTCTTGTCAAATTAATTACTGATAGTAATTCAAAAATGATGCATTAATTAAGAAGCTGTCAAGGCTTCAAGTTGCTCGCCTTTCGCCGTTTGTTGTTTCTGTAAGTACTGTAAACATTGCAACATTTTCTACTGTTTTTTGTGTATTCTATGCGTATGTATTTTTATACTCTGCTTAAAATAACATACGTGTATGAACTTAAATTTCTCCTTAAACGTTTTCTAGAAAATTTTATAAATAAACAAATATTAATAAACTATGATAATTTGTCTATATCTACGATGATCTGTTTATTATGTCAAAGCTCTTATTCTGAGCTTGTATTATCTATTATAAATTACTTAATTAGCAATATAAAAAGTTATAATAGATAAATTTTTATAATGACATTTTATATAAAATATTTTATTTTTAATTATAGGTGAAAGTATAATAATTGAACCCTAGATAAGTTATTTTTACTTATTTAAAATAGTAATTTACAAAAAAAGTAATTTAATTAAATGTTTTATTCTGAATTAAAGTTAGTGAGTTAAATTCTATACATTTTGGGATTAAAAAAAAACAATTTGAATAATTTGTGGTAAGACAATGTTCTAAGATAATGTTCTACAGATCTAACAAGTTGAACACATGCATTGCTGTCAAAGTTGTGTTTCTTCCAGTAAACACAACCTCTCTGATTCAATCATTGAAGTAATAGCATCAGTGTGGGAATATAATGAAACTGGCGGTTAAACTGGATATATATTTTTAACTATCTTTTCGGAAAAACATTGATAATTTTTGGAAAGAAGTCACTAAAAAATGTTTAGAGTTTAACTGAAAATATGACCAGAAATTATTCTACAAGAATAAAATAATATCAACAAAAAATATAAATGGCTCAATAAATTGTTTACATCAATATTGATGTAGAAGATGTTCTTGTTAAGCGATTGGTTGTTAAATGCAACAATTGTTAAATGATAAATAAACTGAAACTTTAGACTAATATATTAAAATGTAATTTCAGTTTATTCAGGAATTCTTTTTTCATTTTCTTTTCGAAAATATCCTCATAATCTGGCCGATGTAATTTCTTAAAGGGCATATTTTGTTAATGTAATATTTACAGAAAAAACATTGACTCTTGCAATTTTTAACTAAAAACTCACTAAAATAGTATAAACTTTGAAAATATAAATGTAATAATCATATTTTTGTATGATAAAACTATATATTATAATGTATAATTGTTAATTTTAAGATTCACTTTGATTCAAATAATAAAAAAAATATTCAAAATGGTATAATTGATAATACAATATTATAATCATATATATTATTATGTAAAATTATCATTTTAAAGGAAACTACAATAATTATTAACAATGAATAAGTACAAAAACGAATAAATCAACCCAATATTTCTAGAAATAATGTTGAGAATATAACTTTAATATTATATCAATTAGTATTTATTTGTTTAAATAATTAAATGTATCAGGATTTTTTTTTTATAATACTCTCAGATTGTACAATATTTTTTTTTGTATGCGTTCTTATAGAGATCAGCATACATACATACACTTTTTTTCCATATTAATCTCTTGTTGGCTGTTATCGCATTGACACTCATTATCAAAGCGTGCTCTAATATTAAATATCCATTGGGATTGATTTGACCACAGTATTAAGTGTGAGCCTGTGTATATGTATACATAGGCGATCTTTATTTATTATTTACATACTGCGTCTCCTCTCCGCCATGTTGTCGTGGCAACAGTTAATAATTCCTTCAATAAATATTAATATCAAATCTAAAAAAAGCAAAGCACAACAATGAAATGGTTCACTAGTTTAGAAAAAATAGTGATGCGAGTTACACATTAGATAGACCTAAACAGACGGCAACAAACCCATCGAGCACAAAGTCTTTGGTATCAAAAACTACAAAGATGGACTACTTAATGAAATGTAACTGTATTATCTACTCTATTTCATTCCTCTGAATTGTTTCACCCCGCTGCTGATCATCAATTAATTGATGTTAATTTTAAGAAATTCGGTTCAAGGTTGTCAATTTTTTTGTATATTTCTCGCTTTTCGGCTCGATGTACCAAGAAATTTACGTTACGTAACAATTAGCACTCCACTTATCACATCGCTGACGTCAATTCATAAATTTGTCTGTTTGCGTTTGACTTTTTCGTGATTTTCGCGATAAATTTCCTCTCGAAACCTGCGATGCAAAAGTTTGTTTCATGTCTCTACTAAAAAATATTAGTTTTGGGCGATCGTTCTAGATGCGTGGTTTTGCTTATATGAGGAATATTCGGTTCGTTCACCTGAAATGTTAGAAATGTTGGTTTCTCGGAAACGGTGGAGGGAGAGACCATTATTTATTTATCCGTCCGTGTAATTTTCCTCAATTAGACACACGGTGCACATGCAAATCGCAGACGCCAATAAATTATTTCGACGCCGCATTTTCACTTCACTTCGCATTCGTTGCCGTACATTTTAAACGCGGATTTGTGAAATGCCTTCGGCTCGTTATGTCATTAGAAAACTTCCTCAATTCCACCCAAACCCATATTTCCTTGATCCATTTTTAAATATACTCCAATTGCCTATGAGAACGGATGTCTTGCAAAACGCTGTGAAATTTCTAATTCCAGTTTATCCATTTCTATTTAATATCAAAAAACTAACAACGAAATGTAAATGGTTAAGCAAGAATTTATAATTAATTGCACTGAAACAAAGAACATTGGAAAATATATACTCAATAAGTTTCTATTAATGTCGAACTGAGAGTTTCTAATTTGTGAAGGATATTATGATATTAAGTCTTATCTTTAATAAATTATAACGTTAATTTGTTAATAAGGGAAACATAACTTAAACTGTCTATTAATGAATAAATAAAAAAATACTTTTCATTTCTGAATTAACAGAACAAAAACCTGAGCATTTGGAAAGGATATGTTAATAATTATATTAAGTTTCTTTGTAATAGATTAAAATTTAAGAATGTTTAAATGTTTTGTTGATTCTAGGTAATTCGAGGATGCCGCAATGGCAAGTGGACGATATTGCCCAAGAATTGAATGCAGATATAGAAGGTTCAATAAATGCGCTGCAAGCAGATCAATCGAATAATTCCTTTAATATGAGGTATAGCAACCAATAATTGGAATATTTCATCAAAGTTTCAACAATGTATGTTCTTGTTTTCAGCGAAGCTATATTGTCCCTATCGAATATGACTGTTTTCAAGCAAGAAGCCCCATCTCCGACCGATAATCCGGAAACTACCGTAACCCAATTTAGTAGACAAAATCAACCATGTTCTTTGGGTAACCAACAAGCCCAGGTTCCCGTCTCCCAAGCCAACAACATCAACGACAATCAAAACAACACAATTTTGAATACAACACTGCAGCAGTTGCTATCACAGACCGGATACAATAGCATCCAAAACATCGACAGTTAGTAGCAAAGATTATAGACTTATTATATTCACTAATTTACTCGTTTCAGGTAACTTGTTGAACTCCCCGACGAACAATCTATTGAACTCTCCTGGTAATTTATCTCAGGATGGATACGGAATATCGCCGAGTTTCACAGAAGATTGCAGATTTCAGTATGTCTTGGCAGCTGCTACAAGTATTGCTACCAAGATGAATGAAGATACTCTTACCTACTTGAATCAAGGTCAGAGTTATGAGATTAAGTTGAAGAAGCTGGGAGATCTTTCCACATACAGAGGGAAATTGTTAAAATCGGTGATTCGGATCTGCTTTCATGAGAGGAGATTACAGTATATGGAGAAGGAGCAGATGACCTCCTGGCAGCAATCTAGACCCGGCGATAGAATTCTCGAAGTTGATGTGCCTTTGTCTTACGGTCTCTACGATGTTAGCCAACCCGCAGGTGCCTTAAACACAGTCCAATTCAGCTGGGATCCAACTAAAGAAGTTGGTGCTTACATCAAGGTATACATATTACAGGAATCATATTTCATAGATTTGATTTAACATTGGAATGATTTGCAGGTGAATTGCATTAGCACAGAGTTTACGCCCAAGAAGCACGGTGGAGAAAAGGGTGTTCCTTTCCGAATCCAAGTGGAGACTTATCAAGGTGGTGATGGATATGATTCACCAAAGCGTTTGCATGCTGCAGCCTGTCAGATAAAAGTTTTCAAATTAAAAGGTGCTGACAGGAAGCATAAGCAAGATCGTGAAAAGATTATCAAAAGATCCATTTCTGAACAAGAGAAATACCAACCCAGTTACGATTGCACTGTTCTCAACGACGTAAGTTCTGAATATTGATATTAACTCAAATATATCTTTATTATTTAACAATGATGCAACTTGTTTTCTAATAATTTGACTTTGTCGCTTTCAACAATCTATCTAATTAAATCAGTATTGAAATCTTTGATATTCACTTGTATAACATTTATAAAATTACGTTTGTATGTAAACCAAGCATTTCAATTTCAGATTCCAAACGAATCCTTAGCAAATGTACCAATTGGTGGACCCTTTTCTCCAGAAAGGTGAGTGTTCTATAATTTTTATCAACGTTAATATTTCCAATCATTTAATCAAATCATATTCAATAAGCAATATTGAATTACACATTTATTAACATATGATTAGACGCTCCTAGAAATTTATTTCAAATATATTTATTGCATAATCAATAAATTTCAATAGCTCTATTACAAAACCAATGTATTACAGGTGAAAGTACAAATAAAAATACACACCTCAAATGTAAAATAAATAGGTCACCTGCATGAAATAAAATGATAGTGTTTATGCTTATACTCTTTAAAGTTAAATTTCAAATTATGATAAAATTCAATCATTTAACATATCAATTGAAAATAATTATATAAATAAGGTAATATTTTAAATTGAATATTATTGAAAAAAAAACATAGCCATAATATTGAGCTTAAATTAATATAGTAATTGTATTGAATTAAATTAAATTACAATATTACAATTATTATAAGATGGAGTTGACATAATACTCTTATAAAATAGAGGCTGTAACCAAATGTTTGATAATATAATATGTATTGTAGGCAACTTCTATAACACTGTACAATATTTGTTATATAACTTGGTACTTCTCTGACCGACTTAGGCAACTTTAAGTGCGTATAAGATATCGGTGATCTATATCACTGTATTAAAAAGTTTACTTATTTGTTCGAAGAAATTAATAGAGTAACTGGTTTTTACTACCCTATCTATATTTATTTTGTGTTTCGAAATACTGTAAACTCACATAACAAAGGTCTGTTTACCAGCTTGATACAGCATATTTGCTCGGTGATTATTCTTAAGATAGCGACAAGTACGTACTTACTTTTCCGTTTATATGTTTATTCATGTCATGCTGATAGAGAAGAAAGTTATCATCGTCTGTATTTAAACATCTTCGAGGATTGTCAGAAGTTTCCATTGAATAATTAAGATAATCTTTGTCATTGTGCTTGTATAATACATAAATATACAGCGCTTAACGAGCAAAATAAATTGTAAGAAAAATTACTTGCAAAATGGAACGCATTATCGTATATTACATTAGTTTATATGGGGAAAATTGTTTCACTATACGAGTAAAAATCCGGTAATTTTGGAACGGGTTATGCTCGTTGAGCGAAGTTCCACTGTATTGATAATATAATAATTATGTTAAATAATAATGATAATGTTTAGTTTGTTTTGTACTATATATATTTTTTTAGAATACATTGAGATAAAGAGTAAAAGTTTGAACATGCAAATATTGTTTTGTGTTAGGTTATTATTTGAGTGCATTTTATATATAAATAATAATTTAAAAATGTAAATAGTGAGGATTTAGGAGAAAATTTACAGCTTAAGAAAGTTACGCAAATGTGTGAAATCTACTTAGTAATAATAATATCTTAAATTATTACTAAGAACAATGTTTAAAAAATAGTAGAGTTTATATTATTAATAGTAAAAGTAAACAGTTTGTTGACAATAGACATAGGAAAGCCGTGTTTTCTTTATTTTACAAGTAACCGCACGTTCTAATATAAACTAGTTATGTTTAGTATTTAAACTATTCAATGTCACAACATAATACTTACAATAGTTGTTACCAACGAGAACATAATATGTAAAGTACACGAACAAATGTCACTTGTTATTTATGCATATGTTAATTTTACAAATTATTTATCTTAACAGACATATATCATCTCATATATTGCTTATATAATTTATTTTATTTTAACATATAGCAAGATATAATCTAAATTATTTTTGTTAAATACAATTTTAATATATTTTCTGCGTAAAAATCTGCACTTAATTGATTGTTTCAAATTACATTATTTGCATAAAAACGGCAAATACATTTAACAAAATAAAATGAGAGAAACGTTCCTAAAGATCGATAAACAATTAAGAAAAAAATACTCTGACAATTACTGATATATACATAATAATGATTGTCGCTAATTAATTTGAAATATCTTTTTTTTTTCAAAAAGGGAATAAAGTTATATAATTATAAATTGCTATTATTGTGTTCTTCGTATTACATCATCAGTTAAGTTGCATGAGAAAATTAAAAATCTCAAGTTTATTATAATTGTAAATAAGTGTTTTATTGTTCTTATTCTAAAAATAATTATTAATGTTGATACAAATTTTGTTTGGAATATTTAAATTGCTAGTGATCGTGTCCTTCGTGTTGCATCATCAATTGTGAAGCTGTCTGAGCAGAGTCCCTCGAAATCTACAATGTCTATAGAAAATACTAGTTTCTACTGGTATCGGATGCATACTTTCAGATCCCCGAGCACGTTTACTTGTTATAACAGTTACTTTTCGATTTACATTACATTATTTTTAACAAACGGCGCGCAGTCAATTAACCTGAGTAAAATTTTGCTGAGCGGACTTAAATTATGGTGTTCCAAATAATCGAAGGGTTTGTACGATCATTTACTATTGTCTGCGGACTGTAGAAGACGAAGTTCGTGATGACAGTAACCAGTTTGAACCGGCGTTCGTTCATCTCAATAATTCAATATTCTCTCATTAAATTAGCATTCGAAATATCGAAATGGACACGCGTTTAAAATATAATTGAGAAAAAAATAATATACGTTGAATCCAGTTCGAGCCCGATTCTATTTGTTTACTTTATCGATTTCGAAATAGGGCTTTTTAGCCAATTAGATGGTGAAATAATGAAGGTGTTTGGGAGGAAGGATGGGTTTGAAAAAAATAACATATAATGCAGTATCATTTCGGGGATTGTTTATCGCGGCGTTAATTGAATGAATAAATAAATAAATATGGCTATTTTTAGCTGCGATTCCGACGAAAATAGTCTGCGCGGAGCGTAGTTTCGATGGAGGAAAGTTCGGAGGCTTTGGTTGGTATGGGATGATGGAAGTGGTATAGTCGCTCAATATTGAACTCCCTTACCGAATTAAACCGCTCATTCCTGGCGTAACCGGTTCTATCCGGCTTCGCACTCGCATACACACACACGCTCGCACATATTATCTAGCAAATGAAGTAGATTTTAAACCAGAACCAGACCTTAACTAACGTACTTGCGATCACAATTCAAGCGCACAAAACAAGTCGTCCTCCTGCAGGGTGCAATATTTTCACGTTTAGTGCTTCGATTCATTCTAAATGGTCTACTATGTAGACCAATGTAGTTCCAATACTCGGTGGACTTAGTTTGTACGGAAATTTATACACCTTTCTGAAGAAAACAAACAATTTGTTTTTGTGTGTGTGTGTGTGTATTAACGTAGTGAAAGCGAGAGGAAGTTTGAGGGAGCAACAAGGAGTCAGGAATGGTTGAGAAAAGTTTCGCGGAGAAAGCCGGACGGTCCCTCTTCATATTCATTTTTGTTCCGATCATTGTCCTCCTCGGCGGCTATTACATCAGATGACAAAAGCTAGTAACCTTCTCTTCCGAATTGCGAATTATCGGAACGGTAAGATGGTCTATCTTCTAATACACACGATGACCATCACGGAGCGCGAGTACGTTTTGCAAGCGCAGTTCTTTCATGCGTTCGGGCAGATTCAGGAGGCGCGATTGATCGGTCGAAGGGTCAGCCTCAGGATTCAGCCCTACGGCGGCAGGAACAAAATGAATCTGCAGCGGCTCTCCCTGCCCGGTCTCAAAGCTATGATGAAACGAAACACGGGCAACATCAAGCATCATTTGAGGACCATCAAAATGTATGTTCCAAAATCCTATCATTTTAGATTTCACAACCTATCTTTAGAAAATTTATACTCCATCATTTAAGTTTAATATCATATAAGTTTTATATCTATTTTATGTTTTATTTTGAAATTTTATTTATTCTTGAGCTATAAATAACGTAATTGCAATACAATTATGCAATGACTCGGCAATTCCATCCAAGTTTTCCACGCAGCGATATCAAAACAAAACCGCTTAGGTAGAATACACTACGTATTTGTGGTATAAATTGAAAGTCCTTGAAGCATTTTAGAATTGGAAAATAAATGTTGCATTTACAATTTCCCATAAGCATACATAATAGAGTCGCTAAATACATGATACCAACAACAAATACATGATTAATTCAAATGAAAATAAAATATGTATTGTTTCAGTACTTCACAGAATAATTTCCAAAGCCCGATGGGAGCGAACGAGGATAGGAACAACTTGTCTTCATCGCCTTCTCATTCCAATCCAATCAACGATAGACCAACGAACGGACACATTCAAGATGTTAATCATCAAGATACAAGACAACACCAAGATGTAAGTCATTTAATGCTTAAAGCAAAAAAAAACTTATTTTAACATCTAAATCTAGCAGTTCTTCGTGCCCGAAAATCTTGGAGAAGAAACGACAGCAGCCCAAACGAACGCCTGGTTAAATCAGAACAGATTTGAAAAGTATATTCCCGCCTTGTCAGGATACAGCGGCAAGGATCTGCTTCGAATGTGCAAGGACGACCTTATAGAAATTTGCGGACACACGGCTGACGCCATACGACTATATAATTCCGTTCAGAATAAGTGAGTTTCAACCTCTTCGTATTTTCAAAGCACATTCTGCAACATCTTTTCTTTCTCAGAGTTATTATCCCGAGGAGGACGCTCTACGTCAGCCGCGAACAGATGAACGTGTTCAGCGCCATCTACATGTCCAACTACAGCTCCATCGACCTTCTGCAGAAGTTATCCTTCTTCCTGGGAATTCAGCCGGATTTAGTAAAAGACATTCACATGGTAGGACCGCAATCCATCCGCATCCAAGTGGAGAATGAAGTCATCATGTACATGAAAGACGAAAGCATGTTTCACGTGTCCATCGCGCCAGAAACCGCGAACACTAATTGCGTTATAATTCTGCTCAAACCATGTAACAGATAAATTTGTATTTGTTAATGTACTCTTTATGATTATAATTATTGTATAAGCTATTTTCAGAAAATCAAGGAAAAGAAATATGAAAGTAAGGAATAGAGTTAAGTTTTCGTTGTTGTTTTTTTAATTACATGGAACGAACATTAAAAACAATCTAGAACCCCATCTACCAAGACGATGTGTTTGTATTTATATAAATCAATTTAATTTTAAAACCTAGCTTAAGCTTTACATTGAATTGTGTCAATTAATTTAAACGTGTTAAAAAGAGCAAATATAAAATATTTTATTTTTACAATTTATAAAAACTCGTTTAGTGCGTAAGAAAGTAGATGTTACTTTAAAATAACATTGATACATCTATTGGTTAATACAAAATGGGGACCATACCATGAAGTGCAATATACTTATAAAAAACACTCACAATGTTATTATTAATATTATTGTATTATATTATTTGATAATGAGACGCAATAATTGTTCAAATATGTATTTTTTAAGAGATTTTATTTTCATAGATATAATTACTGTTATCCACATTCTTATAAGTTTATTATTGTTTAGGTTAACAAGAATCGAGCATATCCAATTTAATAGTTGTTACAAATGTTAATTTTAATTTAGATTTAAGTGAATTGTAAGCAGTTGCATTGAAAATCTTTATTACTGCTCCAATATTCTATGCTTTTTTTGCATCTTCCGCATTGCACACGGATCTCAGACTGTTGCTATTCACCCATTTTTTGTTTAGGTTTTAGTATATTAATGTTATTTGCTCATTTATGCCATTTACGATTTAATAAAATATTATTTTTAAAAAAAGATATATAAAAGAACACGTGCCATAAAAGAGCATAAATAAATTTATTTTAATGAAAATTTGTCATTTATTAATTTCCTCTACACGAAATTATTATCCAGTTATCTAATGAAATTTAACCACAATGATAACAATAATTAAGTCCTTGTTTGCATTGTTAAATTATCTGTGACACTTTATATTTATTTTTTGGCATTAATTTTGAGTAAAATTTTATCTAATTTCTTAAAAACTTAGTCAGTATCATCAGTATCATAAAAGACACTACAACTTTTATATGTAATTAAATAAATTGGAATTTTGCTTAACGTGCAAAATAAATCTCATAATTTTCATATTATATTTTTATTTATTTATTTATTTTTTTTTATTTATATACAATTTTTACAATATTTTTTATACATTTTTATTATTATTTACTTATGTGTATGCCCCTCAGGTTCGGTTCTTTCGGTACGCTCCTTGGAACCGGTATTTTGAGCGGGCTGGTTTACTATGTTGGTTGGTTTACTATGTTCTGTCTTCGTTCCGCGACCCCGCATCCAACACATCATTTTTGTTTTAAACTTCTTTATGTCATTTTCTCTTCTTATTTCCTCTGGAATTAATGGAATTAATTATAAAATTCAAATAATACTAAAATGTACAAGAAATTTATTTGATTTGTATTGTAGTTTTGAAATTATTATATTTTTTGTGAATTGTGATAGTTGTGAATGACCTTTTTGAATGAACTATTTATATTAATTATAAATTAAACTTTGCAACAGTTGACTTTTTGCTTCATTATTATTATTATACGGAAATGTTAAATTACGTTTTCGTATTATTTTGTTGCAATAAATATAATTATTTTATTATAAATAAAATGAAATTCAATAATAAACTATATCAAAAATTTACTTCAAGAATTAATAAATTATTATAAAATAAAATGAAAAATTGTTTTCGAAAGAAACAAAGAAGTGAAGCTAAAGATATCAATGAGAAATATACAGGAATAGCAATGAACTTGTCCGTTTTCAATGTCATTTGGCAAAAATAAAAGAAATATTACAAAAAAAGAGCGGAAAAGGATGTAACAATTTATGAGCATATTTGAATCCTTTTGTTTCGGTCTCCCTCGTTCATTAATATCATCGTCAGATCATTAAACGTCGCTTCTGGACGTAATTGCGGTTCAAGAGCGTCTAAATAAATGTAATCGAGAAATCTCGAATTAATATAATTATCGACCATAAAAAACGTATTAAACCGAAATTTACAATTCGTTTCCTACTTCTTCTTCTTTTGATTCGCAAAGAAATAGCAACCAAAAAGGTAAAAGATAGAATCAAACGAGATCATCGCCTCAGTTACAGTCGTCGGTTCGTGTCTGTCCACTTTGCTTAAGTCAATTCCACTTCTTCGCCAACCGCTGCTAAACAAAGAAGCGCACACCTTTAAATCCAGTTTTTCTTTTCGAATCTACATCTACTAATGCTACAAATTAACGACGAAATGTGTTTTTAAGTGTTTTAATTCAGTTTGTTTATTTATATTTATATTTATTAACCACGATGAGGACATTTGCTGCAGCTATGACTGTTGGTTTAACTTTCGTGGGTTTAGTTGGAGCCTTAACCATCGACAATCAATTAACCATCATCAAGAGCGGTAAATTATTTTTAATTTATTAATATTTAACATTTTTGGGACATTAAATTTGTAATTTGTCTATTTTTCATGTAGAAAATTTAGCTTTTACTTTTGTAATTAATGAACTTTATTTTACATAAATAAATTACAATAAAATGACTATAGATAATTAAGATACTAAAGTGTAGATTATAGTTTTAAACTAATACATTTGTTGTTATACAATCATTAAAAAATGATAAGTTATATGAACATTTGTCAGTTTTAACAAATTGATTTTTAAATATCACAATAAAAAGATCATAAGCCACAATAAGAAACAAAATTGAATAATTTTACCTATTTAAAATCAATTAACCATTATCAAATTATTTAATATTATTATAATATTAAAGATAAAAAAAATACATATAGAAAGATCAACAAGGTAAAAAAGTAATGAATCATGTTACAATAATATTTGGAAATAAGTAAATTATTAATTAGTATTTCTAATTTTAATAAGTGAGATCATAATTGTTGTTATTTATGAAACTTTGAACTCAAATGTAACGGATACAAATTGACATTTGAATTTATTTGTTTGTAGAAATTTTAACTATTAAACATACATTATCAAATATTTTATAATTTGCTAGATTAGTATTATTACGTAATGTCTTTTCTCATAAAAACAAATATGTTGAAGTCAAGTATCAATCAGAAATAAAAATAAAATATTTATTACAAATAATTAAATTGTGAATTACATTGTTTTATGCATTTACACAAGAAATTATTAATTATGAAATTCGTATCTGTTTTGTTAATTTGTATTCCAACCAAAATATTAAAAATATGATTATATTTATGTTATTGTTTACAACGTAAAAACATTAATGAGAATTTACATTAAATTCAGATGAAATTGTAAAAAAAAAAGAATATTTATGTATACAAAATAATTTAGTTTTCAGTTTTTCAAAAAGTACTATATACATTTTTAATTTGACTTTTTATGAACACGTAATTAATTTGATTATTTTAGTATTCTTGTTAACAACTTGAAAACATAAATTCTCATGAAAGTATTCGGATGAAATTTAAAAAAATGTTGTAATTATTGTAGTCTGTGGTCATGAGTCTGGCCAGTGAACCAACTCAGAAGAATACAAACACAGGCGACAACGAAAAAAAGCAAGAGTTTAAGTGTAAGTGTTCTTCTCTTCTTCGTCCTCATAGTCACGCATTTCCTCTGGAATCAAGCGAGCATGAAGAGCCGCTCTTGTTATCTTCCATCCAAGATCGGTCGTAATTCACGTCTCTACTATTGTTGAAAACGAAGAAGAAAAAGTCAGCTCATGCAATCCCGAGATTACTTAAAAAATATTTCGATCTTGCGTTTCAAATCCATCTTAATGATGCTGAGCTTCTTTCGTTATTTATTTTTTTTGTTTCTGTGCTATGCGTAATATATTAATGATGGCATCCGGTATTCACAAGAAAATATCGCGCGAATAACTGTAAAGCCGTTAGACGAATTTCGCGGGTCCTTGACCGAAAATAATTAAGGTTTTTTTCATTGCGTTCTTTCTCTTCATCTTCGATTAAAATTGATCGTATTGGTTACAGATTGCTTCGAGAGGATGGCCATAGGGCAAAAGCTGAACCCGAAAGATGTGTATCTTAAGTTAGATTTAAACACGGTGCCGGATTGCCAAAGAGAGTGCACGAAGGACGAGGACAAGTGCAGGAGCTTCAGTTTCGGGTAAAAATATGATAGGCAACTCAATATGCACGGTAGTTTAATGGTTGTTTTATAATTTTAGGATTGGAGCCAAAGGAAACGCAACTTGCGAACTTAGTAGTAAAGTTATTAAGGAGACTATCGATTTGAAGCCAATTGGGACTTTGGTTGAAACAGATTATGATTTATATATTAAGAAACTTGGTTGTAAGATCGTGATCGAGCACCAACCTCAGATTGATTTAACAACGCCGAATCCGCTTTCCGATGAGATTCCTACGTACGGTGAAGATGTTAGTAAACCAGAGATTCATCAGGAAGAACCTGAAAGCACGCCTAGAGCAAATAGTCAACGTGTCCAAACAAGTTTGATTAGTATAAGACCGGATCCAAATAGGCCTAGTTACACAGGGCTTGGGCCGGCTTTGGGATATTTCGATGCTAAAAAACCTTATGGTCACGAATTTGGGGGAAGACCTGTCAGGCCTTATTATAATGAAAATCAAAGACCTAAACCATATCACGATAATGATAGAATCGATTACGATTCGATGCCTCCGTTTAGACCGCAAAATTTGAATCATCCTTACAACGATTATGCACCAATGAAACGACCGTTATATGATAATTATATTGAAAGACCTGATGATTTCGATAGACCGGGATCTGGGTATGGTCTGCACTCGCAATCTTCTGGTTATAGTGATAGACCTAACAATTTGGGACCTAAACCTATGGGATATGAAGGATTGAGCTACGAGAATGCAAGACCTAAACCGCATTATATTGATTATTATAAACCCAACTCAGAGTTTTACGATAGACCGAAACCACATATTTCGGTGAGACCGAAGCCTGATTATAATGATAAATTCAGGCCAAGTTATGATAGACCTTCGTTAGATTCAGGATATGATAGACCAAGACCTGATTATTATCCAGAAAGACCTAAACCTGAATCTGGATACGATTCTAGTTTTGATAGACCGAAACCGAATATGAGACCAATGCCTGAATTCGGTTATGGTTCAAGTTTCGATAGACCAAATCCAATTATGCTTGGAACTGAAAGACCATTACCAGACATGGGTTATGGTTCATCTTTTGATAAACCGAGACCTAATAAATACGAAAATGAAAAACCGAGACCAGATACAGGATATTTTGATAGACCAAAGCCTGGCGTGTATGAAAATGAAAGGCCAAAACCAGATTCAGGGTATTACGATAGACCAAAGCCTGATATGTATGAAAATGAAAGGCCAAAGCCAGATTCAGGGTATTACGATAGACCAAAGCCTGATTTATATGAAAATGAAAGACCTAAACCAGATTCAGCTTATGGTTCAAGTTATGATAGGCCTAAACCTAATAACTATGGAAATGAGAGACCAAGACCTGATTCAGGTTATGGTCCGAGCTTTGATGGACCCGGTTATGGTTCTAACATGAAACCTGGTCACTATGGAAACATAAGGCCTATCGATTTTGAAAGTGAACGTCCAGATTTAGGTTATGGTTTGAATTTTGATAGGCCAGAACAAAATCTTTACGGAAACGAGAGACCTAAACCTGAATCAGATTACGGTTCAAGCTTTGACAGACCGACGTCAATTGATTATGAAAGACCAAAACCGGACGCTTATAGACCAAATGACAGACCGAAGCCAAAGCCTGATACTGGTTACAGCATAAATCTAGATAAACCAAAGCCAGATTCAGATTACGGTTCAAATAGCAGACCGAAACCTCTCGACTATAATACGGGTACAATTAAACCGAATTCTGGTTATGGTTCAAAACCGAATAATTCAGATCGACCAGAATCCGGTTACGGAGAGGCCGGAAGTAAACCTAACAACAACAATTACGGTTCCAATTCAGCTTCTGATGGTTATGGATCTCGTCCTGACTCGACTTACGTCAGCTCAGAAAACGTGAATTACAGACCAAACAGACCCTACGATCCGAACAACCCGAACTACGATCAATCTCCGAATGTCGACTACAAAGAAACGATGTCGTACAAGGTTAAGAAAGAGGAGTCCCGGAAAGGCGATAAGAACGGAACACCGGAAGCGAAGCCGATAATAACGCAACGGATTGGTCCGCATGGCGAAACAATCACATCAATCATAACTGAAATAAAACCAAGTGAGTAATTTAATCTTGTCAGTAATTTATTGCATCCTGCGCGTCGGTGGAGATTAGAAGGAAGCAATCCGTAAACAAAAAGATAGATTGAAAAAAAAAAGAAATGCGAAAAAGCCTGTAAAATCTGTAAAAACTGATCATTGTTGTTAATTGCTGCGATGAATCCTTGGAAAACAATTACACATCAGCAGATCTTAATCACAAAAAAAGTGATGTAAGCCTACTAACCCGAAATTATTTGACCTTGAATTTACTCGGTGTTCATGTAGGATACACTCTTCGTTTTTGTTTTTTGTTGGGAACAAATCGCAGTGAATGTCAACAATGTTTTTTTAAAACAAAGAAGTTAAAAATAAATTAGAAAAATTGAATTTAATTAATTAAAGGGGAGATTATTTCTGATGCGGATGCCAATCACTTCCAAGGAGAAGATCCCGTGCGTTTGCGTCCAATTAGTTAATTCTGAAGGCAGAACAGCCTTGAGACTGTTCTTCTGGTTTCCGCTGGACTGGAAGGACATCTCTCGTCCATGCACATGCGTGTGTATTTTTAGATGCGATTTTATAATATCAAATATACAGCAATTGGTTGCACTATGCATGTCATCGTCATTAAAATTGTAAATGTATGACATAATCTTATTGTTGAAGCGAGTGCAAAAAAAGAACTGTTTAAACAGGATCTAAATGAATAGCATTGAATGGTGACCAATATAGTTTACAAGCGTTTTATGGGTCAGCGAATAGAAACGTTTGGTTATATGTAATGTTTGTAACTAATTAATAAGTTTAGTTTGATTTATTGTATTAGGTCAAGTTTAAAATGTTATATTAAAATACAACTTTATGCATTGATGATTTCATAAATATGAAGTACTGAAATAAAATCATAAAGGCTTTATATATCTTTACATATATAATTTCACTTTTTTTTACACAAGCTGTAAATTAACTTAAGACATGTTTATAGGTAATAAGAATAATATGACAAAATAATTTTATTAATGGAACTTATTTTCTGCATATACCAATTCGTGAAAAATATTATAGTATAGACTAGTGATTCTCAAAGTTTGGGTTGCAGAAATTTTTTTAAGTGCAAAAAGTGGTCGCGAACCAAAAAGTTTGAGAAACGCAGACTATAGTAATAATACTTTGGAAATTTGAAGCCATTACATATTGGTAAACAAATAAATAATTGATTATTAATTAAGCAAAACAAAGAATAATAATAATAGATAAACTGAATCATTATTTATAAACTTTAAACCAATAAACAAATATTTTTATATTATTATAAATAATTCTTAGCTTATATAAAATATATAGAGCAGTGTTCTTCAACCTGTGGTCAGCATACAGTTTCTGTCGGACTATAGATGCAAAAACGTTGTATAACGCTGATCTAATGGTCAAATATAATTCTACATTTGATATTTACTTAACATTTAAATTTGTAAATATTAAATACTCAGCATAGTCAAGGAAAGTAAAGCAATATTAAATTGTGAACTTTTTAGGATTACATTAACATCAATTATAATTTTCTAATTAAAACAGCTTCAAGTCGTCAAGTTGTAGTTAAAAAGTGCAAAGAATTTTGTAGAAATAAAATGTAGGTAGAAATTTATGTTCGTTGCTTCAAATTCAAAGGACAGCACTGTTGATAATTTTATAATTGAATATTTATATCTTATTTTTGATTCATTACAAAAAAACTTTTACTAATATTTTACTTTTTATTTCTATTAGTTACATAACTGTAATTAAGTATTTATTTCTTCACGCGAAAATTTAATGTAAGTTCATATATACGTTAAAATTAAAACGTGTAATCAAAGATCAATATTTGCAATGATTCATCTAATGTTTATTTGATTGTTTTCTTGGAACAAGAAAACATATTATATAATTAAGTGAATGTTTCAAATAATGATGAACTAATAACTTGAAGTTATTTTAAACACATATTGCATTTTTTGTTTGATTAATGAAAATAATTAATGAATATTACGAGATATTTATTTCTTGCAACCATTTTTTTGGTAATTGCTTTCATTTCCATTTTTTCTTCTGTTACATATATATTACATATATATTTTTACTGAATGAAGTATAAGTTTTCCAAATTTTGAAGTCAACAACGCGACAAGACAACTACAACATGTTATTCAATCAATTATTATCTTTTATTTGTTTTATATTTTTTTTTTTAGAGTTTTATTTCTAATCTAGCAGAATAGCCCAATTATGTTAAAGATTTCTGGAATATTAAATTTAACAGAAGGATAAGAATACCATTGAAAATTGAAAGTAAAATAAAAGACATTTTCATTTTCACTACATTTTAATAATTTTTGAAAATGTTTTTATCATTCGATTGCAATTTCTTGATGATAATCCAATTATTATCAATTTCGAATTGGAAACAGTTTAATGTCTGAGTTTTAGTAAAAAGTAGAAACAATTTGGTAGAAATTATATGAGAGACTATTTTTCAATATGAGTTTTAAGTCCCAATTAAAATAAACTAAGCAATTTTTTGGTTTTTCATAGAAAACGAATAACAAATTTTATTTCATTATTGTTCTAATAATATAATAAATTCTATAATAAATCCTTTTTTTGAATAAAAAAATATGTTTATAACTTTATAATTAAGTAATTATTTCTTTACATTAACATTTAATTGCTAGTTATAACACGCAAAGATTAAGATTTGTAATGGCTCATTTAACATTCAATTATTTTATTTATTTGTTTATTGAAAAAAAAACATATAATATCAGTAATATAAGCAATAATTCAAATAAATTTATATAAATATTGAAATATATATAATTAATACTTATTTTTTACTCAAATAATTGTACACTAGAATATGAATTAATTTGAATAATGGTAAATATTTACTTTTTTTTAATTTCCATTGTATTATCCATGTTTTACACATATTTTTGTGCAATAAGTTATGCAATTATAAATAGATTTCTAAATTTGGAACTCAACAATGCATTGCCCAACCTGCGATAAGACTATTACATCATTATTTTTATATATTCAATCAATTATTACCTTTTCACTGAACGGAAACGTCGATTGAAATCAATGACCCATGAGCTCACCATCAATGCGAATTTAGGTATAGATAGTTGAACAGCGTACTCGTTTCCATTCCCACAACCCTTCTCATCTGCAATTTACGCGAATAAACAAACAACAAACAAAATCCGGGGAAAAAAAGTGGGGCATAATATGCGAGGATCATTCATCGTAGCAAAAATTTACCTTGGAAAGAATGCAATATAACTTGTGCACGAGGCATCGCCACTCCAGTACCTGAGATTCCTCGTGTGAGTGTACGAGTTTAGTTTTCGCGAATGCAAACTTAAAATAGAAATTCAAACATAGTATTTACTTAATAACGAAAATCACGTTTACATAATTCCGAAAATTATGACCCAATAACTGCCGCTTAATTAACAATATACTTTAGAATTCATATTAATTAATAAGTACGTACGTTAGTGAATTGAGAAATGAGTTTCGAAAAGGCCATCTTATAAATTTATTGCATTTGTATGTAAATTCGATTCTTGAGAACTCTTTTAGCTATGGTTAAATGAATCCTTGCAGCCTCTGAAGCGCGCGTTTTTCGAATCAGGTGCTTGTGAATTAGCATTTTTAGTTCATAGAAAATAAAAGTGGTTAAGGAACGATTGTTTTCTTAAGTGGTAAGCTGCAAACGTACTGCGTCTTCGGAAACTTCGAGATCAGATTAAAAGGGACAATTATGGAAGTGTGTGTGAAGATATCTGTGATACTACTGTTAGTGCTCTTCGAATCGTATCATTGTTTTAACAATAGAATAATCATTATCGAAGATGCCAAAGGTAATTTATTTAAATTCATTATTTATATAGATTTTTTTTCTAATTAACATTACATAAAATTAACAGTCATGAAGGGAATTCACATGTTGTTTATGAATATTAAATAATTCGACCATTTACTGATCGAATTTAATTCAATTTATATATTCTAATTTATTATGTAAAACAAATAATCCTTTTTTTACGTTCAATTTGTATTTGAAGTTCCCTTATTTTTTTAATATTTCATAAATTGAACATTTATTAATTAAATTCGTTTTCTTTTACACTACGTACAATGTAATATAAATAATAAAACATTAATTAACAAAACTTTATAAAATTTGCTTTATAATATAATACAAATATTTCATAATAATATACACATTTAATAAATCTAAAACCCAAGTTTATCAATAAATATTACAAAAATGTATTTTTTAATAGTTTTATGAGATTGAACTATCCAAAAATATTAATTATTCACAATTAATGCACCGAATATTAATTGATTCGACCATTTACTTAATTTAATTAAATTTATATATTCTAATTTATTATGTATAATAAATAAAGATTTTTCGTTACATTAATATAACACGTTCAATTTATGTTTGAACATTCATTAATTGAATTCGTCTTCTTTTACACTATATATAATGTAATATAAGAAATATAACATTGTAATATAACACAAATATTTCATAATAATATACATATTTAATAAATATGTAATAATTCGATTTATCAATAAATATTATAAAATTGTATATTTTTAATTGTTTAATGCGATTCTACTATAAAATAATAATAATTTGCAATTCACTGTATAATTTCTGTCAATGTATGTAATGTGTTTATTATTATCCAATCGATAATAAAAATAATATTACATAATTCATTTTTTGATAATATTAATTGATTTAAATTAAAGATGTAATAATATTATCATTTATTCAGCTTTAATATAAAAAATATAATATTAATCCAATAAAGTTTCAAAAACGTCTAAATTATTAAAGTTTTACATTGTTAAAGTCGTCAATAAGAAAATCTAATCGTATGTAAGCATTTTTTTAAAGAAATTTATGTAAAACTAAGTTCTGAAAAAAAAATGTAAAAGTAAAATCCAGCTAAACATTATGGAAGAATTTAATTGGACGCAAGCTTTGGTGTTAAGAAGATTAGAGACAAATGCAATTCTTGCTTGTGTACAAAGATTAAGTAATCATGTAGTTATTAAAACATTACATTTTTTTTTATAAAAATTAAATATTATACAAATATTGTACAAGATCGGCGCGCGCAAAAAATTGTTATTAGAGACATACAAATCAATTATAATTTTATATAATAAATAATGATTCTCATTGATTAAAAAAAAAATTATCAAACCATCAAACATTTATATTTCTTTAGAAATTTATATTGATTCTAATTTTGACAAATGGCTATCAACTGATGTTTTTTGTCCAACATTTATATAATTTAATTAATTTTAAGTAAGACTGAAGTATGTTTGTATATTATCAATTGAATTAAATGTTGATGACAAAAGCTTACCTAAATATTGTAAATTATTAAACAGTCGATATTTGACAGAACATGTTTAACCGTTAACTTTGGGGGCTCTGGGCACTGTTTGGGTATCCCCAATTAACCATGTTTGGGTTAGTTGTGTTCATTTTTTTATCTTTTTACCCTGAAGGGTCCGCATGATTTAACTCTGTCCTTGATTTTCTATGCTCTAATACTATATTTGTCTATGTTCAGGTGTTTTTTTCTGTAGTCAAATCGTGTCAAACATAGAATTGTCTTCTATTGGTCATTTAACATTTGTTTTTTTTTGTATTTGACAAGCTATAAGAATACTGTTGTTAGGTCTACCAATTTCAAGTATTAAACCTTCTCAATCATGTAGATTGATCTAAAAAATGGTACCTACATAAATAATGTTTCCCACTATATTTAGTTCCTTGTAGTAAAAGTACAACTATTTTAGTTATACACGTGATAGTGTAGTTAGTGTATACGCACCATTATATTTGTAATAATAATTATAATTTATTGCATACATAAATCATATGTAATAATTGACTGCAAAAATATATTTTTTAAGGAACAGGACATTTTTTTATACTAATCAACAAAATTTATGAAATATTTGGAAAACATTGAAAAATTGGATTATGGTAAATATTTATTATAGTAAATATTGTAAATTATTCAAAATTCGACACTTGTGTTAAGTTTTGTCGACAGACTTTGATTAATTGGTATCGTTATTTCAAGTATATTTTTTTGGTGTGTACAATTTCCTCTTTCCCCTTTGTTTTCGGGCATAATTTATGCATGTGTAACGTAAGATGTTCGGCATCTTTTGTGGATTTCTGGGGCACACACTTGAAAGCGGTTTTTCATTTCTTTCGGTTACGCAACCGCATTCGGTCGACGATCCAAATTGAATTCACATCGTGGTGATGGTGTGTGTGGAGTGGTGTGGAGCAGCGAGCGCGTTCGTAGCGTGTGCCGCATCGCCGTGCGAAATTTCCATTGTCTTAATATCAAGTTTATGGCCTTAATGATCCGAAAAAAAAATGAAACAAAATTATAAAAACGCTTGCCACACAATTCGCAGTCTTGAAATAGTTTACTTTTGTTGCAAATGAATTTCATATAAAAAATAAGTACTCGAAAATAAGTGTATAAATATCATTTCGTAACTTTGTTTGTACATTTTGATGTTATTATATATGTAAATTAAAACAAATGTAATTAATGAATATCTCTGAGAAATAAACAAATTTACTGAATGATTGTTAAAAATCGATTGTTACATTCAGTTTAGAATAAAGGAATAAATGAATAATTAATATCAAAGTTATATAAACATAATACAATAATTTTTATAATAGTTAATAAAGGCACTGAAAATGATTGTTAGTCTTTACGTTCCATAAATATTTATAATTTCTCCTTACATTCAAACTTTGTGTTTACATTTGGAAATAATATGGTTTTTGTCAAAAATGTCTTTTATTAAAGGGGGAATTGCATCAACAAATGAATTATAGCAGATGGTTCATATGCTGATATAGATCAATTGCTAGTTGAAAATTCTCTTGAGATTATGAAAAATATCTGCTCACTGTAAATTTAATAAATAATAAGACTTCAACCGGAGAATTGGAAAACCATGATACTTACACATAATTCAGAGAGACGAACCGAAATTAATTTTGTTCCGGTTTATGGTTACGATCCAAGTAAATGTTTATCGTTATGTAAAATAAAACTCTGACAACTTAGGAGGAAAATATAAAAGTAATTAATAACATAGTTCTTATAAACATAATTAAAGAGAAGAAAAACGTTAATAAATAATATATTTTCTCTTACAAAAATAAAATTATATACCTTGGATTTTCGTACTATAGATCAGTGATCCACAAACCCCGGTCCGCAGATCAAATGGTACCGGTCCGCGGATCAAATGAACTTTCCATGGACGAGAGGTTATTTATGTTTTTATTATATTCTGAAAAAAGTAGTGGTCCGCTGGATCAAAAATTTTGAGTTTAGTGGTCCGTGCGATTCGATATTTGGAGTTTACTGGTCCGTGAGGTAAAAAGGTTGGGATCGCTGCTATAGATTACTTAAATGAATCTGATTGCATAGTGCATAAAAATCGCCTAGAAGTAATTGCTTATTTTGTAGCATTGTAGTAGCAAAACATTTGCACTGGCTCACTACCATCAAAGTTTTATTATCGCACAATAAAAACTTGAAAAAGTTCCAAATGATATAGAATTCAGACGAAAAATCTTCTTCTCTCTATGGATCGTCATATTTTTGATACCAACTATTTTGTGATTATAATGAAAGCGATTATTGAATTAATTTAATGAAACAAAAGAATCGAAATTAACCGTTAGTAAAATATTGTTCCGGTTTCGGTTTTTAAATTGAGCAATTTTACGTTCAGGTTTAAGTTAGGATTCTGTTAAAAAAAATCGGTTAATTTCGGTTTTAGGTTCGGTTCCTGTTCAGCTCTTTGGTTAAAATATTAATTGATATTATACATGGACCATTATAATTTATTAAACCAATCTTCTAATCTTTCATATACATTTTTACAAGGATTTCTTGGAAAACAGGATTGAGTGTATAATTCTAATTTCATATTAGATTATAAAATTATTATTATCTAGATTATTAAAAAAGTTAATCTTAATAATCTTCAAATTTACATTTTTTTGAGCATTTAAATATACGACATTATTAAAAAAAACAAATATTTATTTCAGTAAATAATTCAATTAAATCTGTAGTTTATAACTTTTACATTTTGTAATGTCTATTTTGCAAAATTGGTGTATTTTACATTTATATTCAATATCAAGAAAATTATAAACTTTAATTACTTGCATTAATAATGAAAAAGTGCACATTTCAATTTATAATCTGAAAATCTGCATTTGCAAATAAAATACTTAAATTCATCATTTCATATATTTTCAAATAATTAATATGAACTATATTTTATTTAAAGATACACAAAAAGTATTGTTATATTGTTATTATGTATAAAGAAAATGATCTACTATTTATGTATAGAAATATAATTTTTGTGTACTAGTTTTGTAGAATTTATTTTTATTTCTGCTTAATTAAAAGTGTTAGTGTTTCTAAAAAGATAAAAGTTAGTCTAAAATTCAATTAACATTATATTTTAAGGGACATTTATCTCGATAGTCGAACAACTTAAAAGTCGAATTATATGTTCAAAACTTTTAATTTAATTTATTTTCAGTAACTAAAAAATTTTTTGTTGTATGTTTTCAGCATGTTTCAGGAGAGCTTTGGCAGGCCAAAGAGCGATCCGCAGTCTGGTAAGACGTTCGGTTCGTTGCGAGAGATTGCAGGAATGCCAGCAGCAATGCGCAAACGAGAAGAGGTTCTTCTGCGAGGCTTTCAATTTCAGGTAAACCCGATCGAACTGAGGATTCGCTCGAATTATATAACAAACACCTGTCCGTCTTACCTTATTGGCAACCTTGGTTTCGCCTGTCGGCAATTATACCATCCGCAACGCATGAAAACATTGACACGATAATATACAACGGTTCACAGCTCATTATGCGTTTACAATCCAAACACCTCCATTATAATTAACTGTACAATTAAAGCTAACGATATTAGTGGCTTTTCCTTCATTGTCATTTTGCGGATCCGGCGATGATGCAACGCGAGAAAATTGGAAAATTGTTCGACGGTCTTGTTTTTTTTTTCTTCTCCACCTTTTCTTCGTCCCATCCGTGCGCCGTTTACGACACCGAAGGGAATATAAAATCGGGATCCGAAGTGCAATTTCCTGTCCATTATCGTCAATGCAATTATTTGTCATTATGCATTCAAACCACACACACGAAGGCCGAAATTTCTCCGTCTAACGAACCGCAACTAATCAAAATCAAATTGTCAAAAATAACACAACAAAACATACATGCAGATGATGGAAGATAACAATTTTCTTATTGGTTTATTAATGACACGTAAATAGCATTTAATTTAACTATTACAAAATTACACATTATCTTGACTTATAGAAGCATTACAATTTTCTTCTAATTTTAGATTTAATTAATTAATTTCATCTTACATGGTGTTATTATTGGCAATATTAGAAATCAATTTTTTTTTTATTTCAAATAAGATAATTTAACATCATTTATTATAAACGTTAAACAACGTATATTTAGGAAATTTCGTGAATGTAAATACTCACAGGGTAATAATCTATATATTATATTTATTAATAATATTATTATCTTTTGAGGGGCCACAAATTCCTAAATTTCTAGACCCAACAAATAACATCAACATCGGATGGTATGGCCTATCAATATTTATCACTTGACTTACCAACCAAATTTTTCCAGTATATTATCTATAAAATTATAATAATATTATGGGCATGTCCAAAAGGTGGAACAATGCGTTTCCCACCACCCCTCAAAGAGTTAAGACATTTATTCTGAATGTTTCATTAAATCATTGACATTTGCAAATATACAAAGATATTGATTGGAATAAACAACAAAAAAATATTATCAATTTGTTACAATCACTTATTATTTGAAAAATTATATCAAAGTTTTGAAAGTATCATATTTATTAATTTTACCAAAGTAAAGAAATAATTTTTGTACTGTTTTTCCTATAATTTGTTAAATAATTACATGCTATAAATTAAATACTTGTTGCATGAAACTTAAATATTTACAAAAATAATAACAAAGATATAGTAAACATATGTATTTTGGGATTTTTTTATTCATTACAAGCAATAGCTTGCATAGTGCGAGTAATCGGATAATTTGTTGTCAATAAAATTTAATCATTTCAGTTTAATTCTTAAAAGTTTAATTCAAAACTGTAAAAAGTATTCTCAAATTGTTAATGCATTCACATTGATATAACTATATTTAAAAATATTAATATATTTATTAGAAGAAACAAGAAAATTTGAATAAGAGTATGCTATACATTAGATTACAATAAAGTAGCAGTATTTATTTCTTAAAAATATGAATAAAAGGCCAAAACAACTTTAGTTAAGCCCGTTGATCATAATTATTTAATAATAATCTTGTTTAACAATATTAATATTATTGTAATTACTTTACAAATAATTAAATTCATGTATTTATTTTATTCCAATTAGTTTATTTTGATCTATACAAAAAATAATGATAAAAATCAATTTTACTGAAAATATTCTTTATATTATAGGCTTGGACCAGTGATTGGAGCAAACGGCGACTGCGATTTACTGGATATACCTGTATTGGGTTTGGATCGTTGGAGGGAAATTGTCTCAGATCCTGATTTCGATGTGTACGAAAGAGATCGCAATTCAGGTCCAAATTGCAATGCTTTATCCATAGTAAAATCACATAAACCGCCACCACCACCACCATCGATCAGCGACAGATTCGACAGAAGACCTTCGTATCCCGAAGACGTAAGACGTTACGACCGAAGGCCTTACTACGACGACAGAAGGACGTATGATAAGTACGGAGGTAAGAGGATTTGAGATGAGACTGCGACTTTTGACACTGTAATTGTAAACGTTAATTTAATTGAATAAAATTGTACTCGAAGGAAAGTTGTTTTTTGTTATTTTGACATTTTTTTTTTGTTTCGATTTGTAGATGGATATTATAAAGACGAGTACCATCACAGATCTCAGTACTACGGCAGCGTCAAGTACCTGCCTATACCGATGCCCCAAATTGATTACAAAGACAAGTACTATTACGATCGTGAGAAAGACAGGAATTTCTGGGGTTTCGAGAAATGGGGTTCGTACGGCGGGGTTTACGGAAACTTTGGTAAACCTGCTTCGCATTACGGAAAGTTTGACGGGAATCGCAGGAACGATTATCTTCCTGCAAAAGCGCCCTCATGGCAGGATACGTATCATACCGGAAGTTACGAGACGCGATTTCCGTCCACGACGAGCGTCAACTTTGGAAAACCGCATCAGGGTTTCAGGCCGATCACCACAGAACGTCCATGGACCGACTATTACAACTACGGAAGTTACTACAATGGAGGTCACGAGATTCAACATCCACCATCACCGAACGGAGGTTACCATTACGATAAACCGCACAAAGAGTACGGATTAGAATCACCCAATTATTTACCGACAACTGATAAACCTGATTTCCATCCACCCAAACCAAACTTCCAAAGTTTACTACCACCTAAGTTAGGACCCAACATTATTACTGAAAATACTTTTTACTCCATAAGCGACGACGTCGTCGAGCACAAGAGGATTGAACCACCAGGATACGATTTCTTAAAAGACGGTAATCTTGACTCAAACATATTTGAATATCTGATAAAGAAGTTGGTTATTCGCAGAGTGTTCTTTACGTACTGCCACCGGTTTCAAACTGCACAAAACCAGCGTCAGGAAGCTTTACCAGGTCCCGGATATCTACGAATGCGAGATGCTCTGCTTCACAGAAACCGACTTCAACTGCCTCTCTTACGCATTTCGGTAACGTTCTTAATTTACCATTAAACACCTTTTAATAAATCAAACTTATTTCAGTTATACCTCAAATGCTAAAGCTCAAAATTGTTACTTAAGTCACAAAAGCTACAAAGCTTTAGACTTCTACACCGATTTAGAACCAAATAGAGATTTCGATGTTTACACGATGAATAATTTGAAAAAATGCACTGCAAAACCCAGAAAAAACGATTTATCAGGTTAAATCTCTTTTATTATTTTAATTGAGTAATTAATTACAATATTTTTGTCTCAGATTGTTTCTGGCACGTGAGGAGCGGTCTGAGATTAGATCAATCCATTGTAAGAGACACAATCAATGTGAAATCTGTAGCGGATTGCGAACTGGAATGCATTAGATCTTCTAAATTCCTCTGCAGATCGTTCAGCTTCAGGTTTTAAATACTTTAATAAACGAATCAATATCTAAGAAATTTAACTTCCAGATATGGTTCTCCGGTTATCGGAGGTATAATTGATAACTGCCAGTTAACAGATTGGCCTTTCATGGAATTGGATCTTCAAAGCCAATTGAATCCTGAGCAAGGTTTCGATATTTATGAACGCGGTAGCTTTGGATACGGCTGCGAACCCAATCACTTTTCTATTCGCGGTAAAGAGGAACCTGCAGTTGGATCGAAAACAGATCAATGTAACGCAATAATCAAACCATTTGAAATATTTACTAATTGTACCAATTTTAGTATGCTATGTTGGTTACGGCAGACCGGCAAAATTGTTACCTCAGGCAATCCGCAAATCGATATTTGTTAATTCCGAATTGGATTGCAAACTTGAATGCACTAAATCACGGGAGCACACTTTGCTACATTGCATGTCTTTCAGCTTCAGGTAATAACTTGCATTTGAAGCAAATGAGATTAAAACATTAATTTTAGAAATAACCCGAGGAGAGGTGAAAGTAATTGCGATTTATCTGATATACATCAAAGAGATTTGGTAGGAAAAGTTGATTTCATTTATGATGACGATTCTTGGTTATTTGCTTGGGATAGTAACAATCCGGAATGCGTACCAATTTATAAAGTCGCTCCAAATCATGGTAGAGAAAATACCATGGATATTTGGAGATACAATGGTAAAATATTTGTGTGTTTTTATGGATTATTTCTTAGTGAAGAGTTTTTTTTAGCTTTGGATACTTGGAGAGTGTATAGCGTCAGTGGTTTTCCTTGTAAACGAGGCACTTCTTGTAAGGAAAATAGAGAAGCTGGTTTTTGGTTTTGCGAACTGGAAGGAGGTGACGAAGATATCTGGGATTACTGCTGTAGACCATCTCACCAATGTGGCTATTCAGAAGGATTTGCCTATCAATGGTAAAGTTATTGTATAAATACATAAATTAAACTTGGAGTTAAATGTATGTTTCAGGTGTTACGTTGGGCCAGATAGAACTCAGTGGAGACAATGCAGCGAACGATATTATCCATACCTCCTTAACAATAACATAGATCATAAATTTACTCCTAAACCCTACGTACCAGATATCAATTTCCGACCAGATCCAATTCCATTCGAAAGACCTCATTTCAGGCCCAACAGACCTCTGGCTCCCCCGGCACCTCCACCACGAAGACCGAGCCTCAACGAATACGAGCAGAAATTCAATATGCAATTTTTGGATCCTCCGAAACCTGGCGGATTTGGAGAACCTCGTCGTTGGCCAGTATCTTATCTTCACAAAGAGATGCCTCAAGGTGAAACAAATTCGACGGAATTGAAGTTTGACAGGATGCGTAGCAGACAAAACATTGCCATACACAATCTCATAAACATAATTAAATCTAAAGACATAAATAACATAGAATACCAGATAACGAATAAAACCAGCAAGATGAACGATATCTTGTTAGTTAAGATACCACTGCCTACGAATTTCACCGAATCTTCAAGCTCAAAACCGGAGAAAATGAAGAAAGAGGAAAAAGTCAGTTTAAGTGAGCCCATAGATTTGAAGGAAGAAGCTAAGAATACGACGGGTATTAAAATCAACACTTCGGGAAACAAGAGACAAGGTAGAGAATATTCGTATGAAGATAATTTTGAGTACAGACCACTGACATTTCGACGAGGTTTTGTCACGAGGGCAAATATTTCAGATTACGGGCACCGGTTTTAATGGAATCGAAGTACAATTAAATTTACAAGTTTAAAAATGTATATCTATTATAGTGTGATGTATTTTTATGAATTTATTGTTAGTTTTTATTTAATATTTATATACAAACTTGCTTTATTTTAATAAAAATTTAAAAAATATCAGTTAAAACACATTGTGTTTCAATCTATAAAAAATATCATCTAATAATATCAAAATGTGGATCAAGAATTTATGCACTATGTTGAAGACATTTTACAGCCAAAAGAATATTAATTTCTATACAAATTATTACTAAGTTATATAGGCAACCCATATATCATTACCAAAATTAATTTTTAAGTTAAAAATGCATTTAAAAATTAGTTATAGTAGATCATCTTATATTTATATATATTATATTTATCAAAACTTATGAATGATACTTTATCAAGTGCAGTAGTTCATTTGATTTGTATAGCTGTTAAATAACTGTCAGAAAGCTGATAACGTGGTGGGGGCAGAATGTACTTTAAACATATGGAAAGAGAAATCATAATACTGGTTTGGGAATTCCAATTTGAGAAGCCTGTCATGAGTGGTCATGAGTAAGAAATAGAGTACTCAGTAGAAGTAGTTAAACATAGTCCATAATGTACATATATGAATTGAGTCATAGAGAATTACAAGATCTGTGCAGGATTTTGGACCAAAATAATAAATGGGAAGAACTTGGAGGAACCCACATGAACTATGATGTTTTAACAATGCAGGTAAATGAATATAAAACAAACTAGACATTTGATAAATACTCCATGTTTCAGGTTTTAAAGAGAGAAATTTATAGGGGCAATTCTCCATCAGAAGCCCTTTTGACAATGTGGGGCCACCACAATCACACAGTGTTGGAATTGTATTTCTTGTTTAACAGAATGAAACATTATCAAGCCATGACAACAATAAAGCACCTCGTTGAAGATAAATACCATAAACTTATAAGAGAGTGCCCAATAAATGTTCATGAGGAATTGAAGGAATTAAATGTTAACAATGATCGTCAGACTCAGAAGATTTTGAATGTACCTAATATGGAATTTTTAGCTGTGAGCAAAGAAAACAAAGATAGTATTAATCGTGGCTTGAAACCAAGGTCACCACTGCCTGTGGATAAGATTTTGAGCACAGGATCTGCTATAAGCTGTGTTGCAGAATCTGCAGGGGCAATCCCTCAAATTTCATATATTGAATTACAAAATTCAACAAACAATTGGGATAGTGCAAGTATTTTAGGGAAAGGAGGATTTGGGACAGTTTTCAAGGGCACTTGGAAATGCACGAAAGTAGCTATTAAAAGAATTGAGTCTAAGGAGAATAATCCAGAATCTTATAATGAGCAGATAAAGCAATCTATTACAGAATTGCATTGTTTGAACGCTTATAGACATGACAATATTTTGCCGCTTTATGGTTATAGTATTGGAGGACCACAGCCTTGCTTAGTTTATCAATATATGTCTGGAGGATCTTTGGATTATCGCTTAAGGATTCGGGATTTAACTAAGGTTCTTGATTGGGGTACAAGATTGTATATATCAATTGGGACTGCTAGGTATTGTTTGTTTTAAGTGTATATTTGGTTTGATAAATTGAAAATGTTCTAGGGGATTGCAATATTTACATACAATTGGAGATAAACCTTTAATTCACGGCGACATAAAACCTGCTAATATACTGTTGGACCCAAACAATTCGCCGAAGATTGGAGATTTTGGTTTGGCGCGCGAAGGGCCGCATCAAAATTACACACATATAACTGTTGATAGAATACACGGGACAAGACCGTATCTTCCTGATGAATTCCTGAGATCCAAGAAGTTTTCAACAAAAGTTGACACGTACAGTTTCGGAGTTGTTCTGTTTGAAATAGCTACATCACTGTACGCTTATTCGGATAGGCGGAGCGATAAGTTTCTGAAGGATCACGTGATTAATTATACTGGAGATATTGTAGATCTGATGGATAGAAGAGCTCCTACTGGCGTTGGAGATTCAGTTTACCGTTGTCTCATCGACATAGGAAAAACGTGCGTGCAGAAAAGACCAAAGGACAGACCTGAAATGGTCAGCGTCCTCTTAAACTTGGAACAAGCGCAAACAGATTGTGATATATTTCCTTAGATGTTATATTGTAAACGTTAATAAATCATCTATTTTACTCTTCTTTCACATTATTTGTAACAACCATTTTACTAATAGTAAACAGTTCAATGGGAACCTCCCTGACCCAATCATCTAGTTGATGTGTTCTTTGCTCTGGTGAGGTAACAACTTCCTCAGGTTCTTCTACGTCGGAGGTACTGCTTCGTCTGGATTCAGAATTCGGTGGTAAACTTTCAAACCTATTTAGGTAATTAAAGTTTTTGGCTAACGACCAACTTAAAACGTTTTCGATTGTCGCATTGTTCGCGTTTAGGGTGGCCTCTCCAATGATTGCACGGGCTGCAGCCCCATTTGCATCTCCCATTTGCACTCTTTGACTGTAAAGCCCACCGAAGATTTCTTCGGTTCTTCTGCTTAGAGGTATGATCACTTGATCCCCATTGGCAGTAGGTTCGTACGCGTGATGACCGAATTGTTCAATGGAACTGTTTCCGACATTTCCTAAAATTAATTGAAGTTAGTCATAAATAATTAATCAAATGTTTCTAAATATTAACCCGTTACTTCCATGACACCGATTTGACTAGTTCTGACGTGGTATGGGAAATTTTTATTAGCTACCGAAGGCATGGTAAGCAGCAAGAACATCAAATGACCTCCGAAAGCTATAAACAAAAGAACTGCGCAAACTATGCTTTCACGTACCCATTTATCTATGTGCGAGTTTGCAGTTAATATGAAAGCCGGTCCTGCTATGAACCACAGAGTTCCGAAAACATTGAAAGGGTAATAGAAGTTTGCCTGAAAAATAAAGTTTTAAAAATGTAAAGCTATTGGTTATATAAATACCTTTTCAGGATAATGTTTCAATGTGAAAACAGTGGAATAAATAAACATGCACCATGCGATGACCCTCAAGATGATTAAACCATATCCAGCAGGAGATTCGTACGTGTAAAGCACTTCGCCTGGATCAAAGACTTTCGCTTCGTAAATGAAAAGAGAAACAAATGTGACGACATAAAGACACATGAATATGGTGAGTTTAACTCCTGCAGATAAAGGTAATCGTCCTCTAGTAACCGTATAACCTTTGGCCAGAAGCAGCAGGAGAAGCAAAAAGCACGTTTCTGATAATCCCATGAACATAGCTCCAACCACTTTCAACTTGGGCGATCCAATACCGTTGACGGCGTATTTAAGAAAAGACATACTTCGGAACAAAATACCGAACAGTTGCACCAGTGAACTTAGCACGAAAAGCTTATAAGTGGTGTGCAAAAGTTGCCTTGATTTTAACTCAATCGAGCAAATTATGATTGCGAGCACCAAAAACGAGTAAGCCACCGAAAATGCCATCAAAACTGGTAGAACATCTAAAACAAATCAATTAAATTATAACATATTAATATGAAGATTAAACTTACAAAATTCGTCGGCTGAAAAGTGCTCATGCCAGTAATCACCAGGAGGACCATTTGTCATTAATATCCTGTATTTGATATGGATTCCCTAAAAATGCAAACCTATTTGATGTTCATTAAACTTAATTCAACAAACTTACTTTTGACGCATTGCAATTGCTTATGGCAATGAACCACCATCGTTCTCGAGCGCTCCGGAATCTCCTGGAATTCCTGCACATAATAGTTCTACCTCCACCGGTGGCCCTCTTCTTAATTGGCGCTTTTGTTGTTGTAATTTCAGTAGGAACAGAAGTACTTTCATTATCGTAATTCATCTTTTCATAATCAATCTCATTCGAAATCGAAGTTTGATTTAACTCTACAAAGTAATCAAAGGTAACATTTACAGGTGAGGTAGTGGTTATTGAAGTAGTCGTGGTTTTCTTAGTTTTCCGTGTTGCTAACGTTGGGACAATTAAGGTGTAACTTGGTTTTGAAGTAAAACCAGGCTGAGGAGTTGCGATGCACCCAGCAACATCTCTGAACGGATATCGCGTTGTAAGATTGATGATTTGGTTCTGCTCAATGCGTAACACGCTCTCCTTCTCGCGACACGTCTGCAACTGTAATTAAATCACATGTAATTGTACATCAAATATTCAGTTGTGAATTATTGAACGCACTTTGGCTGATTTGTACACTGCGGGCCATTGGGTATCTGCATCGTAATACAATAAAAGATTTGGCTCTCCTTGATCTTCTTCGTATTCAATGTAATATTCGTATTGGCCTTCTTCTGATAGGAAACAGAAACGAGCGATGAAAGCCCAATTCTGAAATGAACGTTAGCATCTTTAAATGGGTGATTCTTTAATGTGTTTTATGATTTACCTCGCTTGTGTTTAGTTCTCCTTCGACGTATTTATTCTCTATTTGATGGGTGAGATAGATGAGGAGGTAACTGAGGTGTACTAACTTTAACATTGCTTCTTGCATAAATTGTAGACCACCGAAATGTGTTTCCAGTTTCCTTAAGGGATCGATAGTGCGGTACGAGTTGCCATAGACATGCTACAATCACAACAATATTCAACAAGTCTTCGTTCCGCTTGACGAATGCTAGTAATTTGTATTGATCTTACTAAACGTTGATTTGAATTAAACTAAGGTCACCTTTTCCTTTCAATTATTATAGTCCTTTTAAATTATTTTTTTTCTATAATAAATAGAGTAATGTCATGCATAAACATCATAATGACAATGTAAGCAATGAATGAAAATTACTATATTTAAATGTTTCGCTTAATAACACCGTTTTTGCATCATGGTATAATCAGAGGAGTCTCAACGTCGACATATAAATTAAAAGAAGTTTTCTCTTTCGTTCTGAACACGTATGCAGGAAAGATTACCCCGGAAGAGGTGTTTCCCTATCCGGATATATCGCAATTTGAAAAAACCGAATTGTGTCTTAAAACTTCTAAATTCCTCGCCGAAACCAACGATGCTAGAAAAAATGATGCCGCTTCTACCGTCCCGGAGATTGTAACAAAACGTTTAAGGGATTTAGGTTTATTCTCTATGTTAATGCCTAAGGAATATGGGGGACTTTCATTGAAAAACGCAGAATGCGCGCGAATTTTCTCAGCTGTCGGGGAAAACGATCTAAGCTTAGCCATTCTACTGCTCTCCAATCAGGCTTATTGCGCAATCGAAGCGTTCGGAAGTGAAGATCAAAAGAAGAAATATTTGAGTAAAGATACTGTATACACGTTTTGCTTAACAGAACCGGATAGTGGATCGCATCTTGACCTCATAAAGAGCACAGCTGGTCTTAAAGATGGGACCTATATTTTAAATGGAAATAAAGTGTGGGTTGTGAATGGAGATTTAGCGGACTACCTTATAGTCTTCGCAATGACGAAAAAGCGATCAATGAGTGCGTTTATTGTTGAGAAACAGTTCTCTGGGATCACATTCAAGAAACGTGACGAGAAGATTGGCGTTAAAGCGGCGCGAAGTGTAGCAATCCATTTTGAAAATGTGAAAATTCCTAAAGAAAATTTGTTAGGAGAAGAAGGTGATGGCCTCAAAGTGGCAATGCATGTAATCAATATCAACCGCTGTGCTTTATCTTCGTGTCTTCTAGGCGTTATGAAAAAATGCATCGAGAAGGCCGTCGATTACGCAACGAACCACGATTACAACATTGCAAATTATCAAAGCGTTCAAGAGAAAATTGCGATTATGTCTGCGTTGCACTACGCTGCTGAATCTATGGTGTATCTCTTAGCCAACAATTTAGATAAAGCAGAGAGCTTCAAAGTTGAATCAGCAATTTGTAAATTCTTTTCGTCGGACGTGGCATTTAAAATTTGC